TTAAATAATCTAATATCAAATGTTGATCACGTGCCTTTAGGCAAGGTCCTATGCTTAGGCTCATCTATTCCTTCCACACATATCACTGAGCACCTACTAAGTGCAGAGCACCGGGTACCCCGGGGACTGAAACTGGTACGGTGGCAGCTCTCGTAGAGCTGACAGCCTAAGGGCAGTCACATGTCAGTTAGTGACAGAAATGGCTGTGAAGTAGCAAATTCAGTGAGGACTTGGGGGTTGAGGGTGGGGTGTGGGGGAGGCTACAGCAGGAGGCCCAACGAAGTCTGGGCATCAACCTTGGAGGCACTGTTCAGGGTTTAGTTCTTTTGCCAAAAGCAATAGGAAGGCACTGAAGAGTTTTCAGCAAGGAGGCAGAGGGGTCAGATTTGTGTTTCGAAAGCTCACCCTTGCTGCCGAGTGGAAAGTGGGTTGGAGGGGACAAGGTGGATGTGGTGTCACCAGTTAGGAGGCTGTTAGAAGGTCCAGGCAAGAGGTGCTGGTTTGGTCAACCAGGCGGTGGCAGTGCATAGGGGACGGGTGAGGACACTTGGAAGTGCTGGGAGGTAAACTTGGCAGGACCTAGGGGCTGATTGGGTGTGGGAGGGCAGAGGAATGGTGAGGGGTTGGGAGGGACTCGAGGCTTGGGGTGCCGTTAGCTGAGACAGGAGAAGGGCCCAGGTTTGGTGGAGGAGCTTGAGTTTGGCTGTGGATGGACATGTTGGCCGTGAGACTCTTTGGAGGCAGCCAAGTTGGAGCCAGCAGGTGAGCCCAGGACATGCATATGGAGCTCAGAGCAGGGGCCAGGCTGTAAGGACCTGGCATGTGCTCGCCTGCCTCTGTGCCCTTGCCTTGGGCCTGGCCTGGAAATCCTTTCCAGCTCTCACAGTAGAGTCCAGGGAGTGCATTGCTTCCTCTGGGATCCTGCAGCCACACCACCACCCGCCCCATCATCCACCTGTTCTCTCAGTCCTCCTGCCTGCCTTCTGCCTGCGGTGCTCCTGCCGTCTCCCCACAACCCCACGTGGCTCTTACTGTTTGAACGTCAGCTGGCAAACTAGTCTCTCTGCATCTTTACAGCATTGTTATGTCTGCCTACCCACCCTGCACTGAGCCTGGTGTCCTCATGAAGTGGGACCTGGATAGAGAGTAGACACAACCCACAATTGTGTTTTGTGTGTGTGTGTGTGTGTGTGTGGGTGTGCATGCACTCTTACAGAAGGTGGACTCAGGTTTACACTGTCAGCAGCCACCTGACTGGCGGCCTCCATGACAGTCAGCACTGGCTGTGGGGCCGTCCACTCTTCATGGAGAAATGGCATAGGCCACTAGTTGGTCACATCAGATAAACAGGCACTCACCAAGGAAAGCTGAAAGTGTTTCCTCTAAGATCAGGAACAAGACAAGGATGCCCACTCTTGCCACTTTTATTTAACATAGTATTGGAAATCCCAGCCACAGCAATCAGACAAGAAAAAGAAATAAAAGGAATCCAAATTGGAAAGGAAGAAGTAAAACTGTCACTCTTTGCAGACGACATAGTACTATACATAGAAAACCCTAAAGATGCCACCAGAAAACTACTAGAACGCATCAGTGAATTCAGTAAAGTTGAAGGATACAAAATTAATATACTGAAATTTGTTGCATTTCTATACAATAACAATGAACTATCAGAAATTAAGAAAACAATCCCATTTACCATTACATCAAAAATTATAAAATGCCTAGGAATAAACCTACCTAAGGAGATAAAAGACCTGTACTCAGAAAACTGTAAGATACTGATGAAAGAAATTGAAGACAATACAAGCATATGGAAAGATATACTGTGTTCATGAATTGGAAGAATTAATATTGTTAAAATGACCATAGTACCCAAGGCAATCTACAGGTTCAGTGCAATCTCTATCAAAATACCAAGGGCATTTTTCACAGAAATAGAACAAATAATTTTGAAATTCGTATGGGAACACAGAAGATCCCGAATAACCAAAACAATCTTGAGAAAGAAGAACAGAGCTGGAGGAATCACACTCCCTAACTACAAAGCTACAGTCATCAAAACAGTACATTACTGGCGTAAAAACAGACACATAGATCAATGGAACCGAATAGAGAGCCCAGAAATAAACCCACACATTTATGGTCAGTTAATCTATAGCAAAGGAGGCAAGAATATACAATGGAGAAAAGACCAGTCTTTTCAACAAGTGGTGCTGGAAAAGCTGGACAACCACATGTAAAACAATGAAATTAGAACATTCTCTAACATATACAAAAATAAACTCAAAATGGATTAAAGACCTCAATGTTAAGACCGGATACTATAAAACTGCAGCAGAAAACAGGCAGAACACGCTTTGACATAAATCGTAGCAATATTTTTTTGGATCTGTCTCCTAAAGCAAAGGAAATAAAAGCAAAAATAAACAAATGGAACCTAATTAAACTTAAAGCTTTTGTACAGCAAAGGAAACCATTGACAACATGAAAAGACAGCCTACAGACTGGGAGAAAATATTTGCTAATGATATGACTGATTAGCAGTTAATATCCAAAATATATAAACAGCTCATACAACTCAGTATCAACAAAACAACCTGATTAAAAAATGGGCAGAAGACCTGAATAGACATTTTTCAAATTTATTGAAGAAGACATAGAGATGGCCAACAAGCTCATGGAAAGATGCTCCACATTGCTAATTATTAGAGAAATGCAAATCAAAACCACAATGAGGTATCACCTCACACCGGTTAGAATGGCCATCATTAAGAAGACCATGAATAACAAGTATTGGCGAGGAGAAAAGGGAACCCTCCATACACAGTTGGTGGGAATGTAAATTGGTGCAGCCACTGTAGAAAACAGTATGGAGGTCTCTCAAAAAACTAAAAATAGAATTACCATATGACCCAGCAGTTCCACTCCTGGGGTATGTATCTGAAAGAAATGAAAACACTATTTGAAAAGACACATGCACCCCAGTGTTCATAGCAGCACTGTTTACAACAGCTAAGGTATGGGAGCAACCTAAGTGCCCATTAACAGATGAATGGATAAAGAAGATGTGGTGCATATATACACAATAGAATATTCCTCAGCCATAAAAAAGAATGAAATTTTGTCATTTGCAGCAACATGGGTGGGCTTAGAGGGTATTACACTAAGTGAAATAAGTCAGAGAAAGACAAATGCTGTATGATATCACTTATATGTGGAACCTAAAAAATACAACGAACTAGTGAGTGTCATAGAAAAAGAAACAGACTCACAGATATAGAGAACACTAATAAGGACCTACTGTATAGCACAGGGAACCCTACTCAATACTCTAATGTAATGACTATATGCGAAAAGAATCTAAAAAGGAATGGGTATATGTGTATGTATAACTGATTCACCTTGCTGTACAGCAGAAACTAACACAACGTTATAAATCAACTATACTCCAATAAAAATTAAAAAAAAAAAAACAGAGAACAAACTAGTGGTTACCAGTGCAGGGGGCTGGGGGGTGGGCGAGACAGGGGGAAGGGATTAAGAGGTACGGATACATTGTTCAACACAGGGAGTACAGCCAGTATTTTACAGTAACTATAAACGGAGTATAGCCTTTAAAAATTGTGAATCACCATGTTGTATACCTGTAACTTATATAATATTGCACATCAACTATATTTCAATCAAAACGAAGAAACAGCCACCAAGTTTAAAGGGAGCACTGACAGAGCACAGACTGCCTAGAAAATTATGCCTTCATGGAGCTTGTTTTACTGGAAAAAAAAATGTAAATTATGGCAGCTATGGCAAAAGGCAGATTTTCAAACCATAGGTTAGCCAGACTTGAGCCAAAGTGACAGAGATGTGTTCCCAGGGTTTCTTGCATCAGGAGGGCCAGGGTCCTGCCGAGAGAGCAGCAGTGCTGCTGCAGGATGTGTCCTCGTCTTTTCTCAGCGCTCTTCCCACCTAAAGGCTGGAATCTGCCTTCACGGAGTAATCTGCAAATGTAAATGGGAGGGAAAACTTCAACGGGAGTATGAGAAAAACATCAAAATGTCAAGCCATACACAAGTGACTGTTTCTTTTTTAACATCTCGTTGACCATTTAGGATGAACTTTAAAGAATTTAAGTGTAATAAGAAACTGGAATGGTGCTCCGAGAGGGCACTTCCATGCGCATGACAATTGTGAAAGCTCTGGAGAAGGTGACGCAGATGGACACAGTCTCCCGCAGAGCCAGTTTCTCGGTCCAGTGGGTTTAGTAAGCGAGTCACCCGGTGTTAGATGCGTCCCTGGACACTTGCACTTTCGTGTGTGTGACACACAGAAACCTAAACACAGGTGACAGGATTCTTGCATTTTTCTCTACCACTGAGTTAATACCCTTAATTAAGCAAACAGTTTATTCTGAACTCCTTGTTAAGCAGTTGAGAATCGTATTGCTGGCTTGACAAAGGTAAGTGTTGTAACCTCCTGGCCGACTTCTCCCTGTTCCTCAGACCCTCTGCTTTCAGCTTAGCTGGCAGCGCTGCGCTTTGCCTGCTCGGTGCGTGCCAGGACCTGCCTCCTGCCCTGGCGGCCTCCCCAGTGAGCACCCAGCGTGCGGCCCAATGTGCCCAGGACCCTCCCACCAGAGCATCCGCAGGGCTTTTTGCTTTTAAAACTGCATGGCACAGGGAGATCAGCTCGGTGCTTTGTGACCACCTAGAGGGGTGGGATAGGGAGGGTGGGAGGGAGGGAGATGCAAGAGGGAAGAGATATGGGAACATATGTATATGTATAACTGATTCACTTTGTTATAAAGCAGAAACTAACACACCATTGTAAAGCAATTAAACTCCAATAAAGATGTTAAAAAAAAAATCTTGGGGAGTAAATGTAAACCTTCTGGCCTCCCAGTGAGTAATGTGTGCTTCTTCCCTAATGCGCTCCTTGTAAAACTATTAGTCTGATTGTCTTTATTTTTTCAGGACTTAGGTTCTTTCTTTATTTTCCAGGCATGAAAACAAAAAGAAACTAGCTACCAACTTAAAGTCTAAAGGTAAGAGAAATAACCAGAGACCAGACTCTCATTTTGTGTTTTAGCTAAAAGGGTGGTTTGTGACGTGTGGTGTCAGGCACGCCTCGGGGCGGGCGGAGGCGCCTGCCTGTGCTCACGGGCCCTGCAGCTCTCCTGGGGGAGAACTGGGGGCCTCTGAGAACACGGGTGCCAGGGTCCGTGGTGCCCAGCGCTTTAATCTGCAGGTATGACTTTGCAGGGCATCCTGGCCTCCCCCCCCCGCGCCCCCCCACTGCCATGTCTTCCACATGAAACGTCCTCACCTCTGTCCCCGTCCTCACTGCCACTGCCCGCAGGCACCCGCTGCTCTGACCTGAGGGCTCCTGCGGTAGCCCTCCCCCGCCCCTCCCCCAGCCCTGGCCTCTGAATCCTCATCCAGACGTCTGCCTGCTGGGGAAGCAGGGCCAGCACCCCCGCCACCTGCAGGGTAGAGTCTGGAACGTCCCCTTGTGGTCTGGCCCGGCCCCTGCTCCCAGCCCTGTTCCTCTGAGGTCGCGTCCTCTCCTCGGTGGATCCAGCCGCAGCCAGCTTTCCCTGTGCTCTACCCTCGTACCTCTGTGCCTTCGCTCACACCCTTCCTTCTCTGTGACATTTCTGCTAGGGAGCTCCTATGTATCCCTCAACACCCTCCTTCCACACTGGCAGTGGCGTATCCCCTGCCGAGCTTGGGCCGCCCCTACTCCTGCCTCTGAAACCCTGTTCCCAGCCGGTCCGGTGGGACTTGGGGCTTGAGCATCCTCTGTCGCCGTGATCGGGCCATGTACTTACCCTCCCAGCCTCGGTAAGACACGTGTTTGTACTCACCTCGCCAGGCTGGTGCGAGGATTAGATGGGGTCACATCTCAGGAGTCATCGCAGCGGTGGCAGGCTGTGCCTTGTAGATACGGGGGTCGCAGGGGTGGTCAGTGTCGCAGGCGGTGGGCCCACCACACCCTGGCACTCCAGGCCGAGCCTGCAGCCTCCCTGTCGGGCAGCTTGCGGCTCCACCCGGGGGATTTTCTCTGGCCACAGGAGCCAGGAGCTCCAGGGAGTCGACGCCTGGTTGAGAATAACCCCCAGCCACTGAAGGGTGGGAGTTGGTGGATAAATAACCCCACTTCCTTGCTGGCTTTTGGGGCCATCTGAGGAGCGTTCTGTGGTCTCTCTGAGGCCCCGGCAGGACTGACCCCAGCGGTCCACTGCCAGCCCTGCTCCTGGTTAACACCCTCTCCGCCCCCCATCCTGCCCAGGGTCACCTCCCAAATGAACTGCGTGTACCCACGCCCTCGTCTCAGTGCAGACCTCACTGCTGTTCCTCCACCGTGTCCCTGTGCTGAGGAACAGAGGGAGCTCACGGCGAGGAGCAGTCAGGCAAGCTGTTACCGGGCCTGGTAGAGCACCCAGCCGCCCTGCCCCCATGTTCACCCTGGTTACAGATTCCCATCCTACAGTGGAGAGTTGGGCAGAAGGGAGGAGCAAGTGCTCTGCCATGAGTTCCCATCGCAGCACGAGGAGCACGCAGAAGTGAGTCGTTGCTGCAACACTGGCCTGCGGCCCGGGCCTGTCCGCTCAGGTGCACCACGCAGGGCCCCCAGGAGGCTCTTTGCGGGCCACGGCTGATTAAGCCGAGCTAATCAGACTGCAGAGATGCTGAACGGCTGTCTGGTTTTCTCTTCCAGCCTTCTGGGGCGAGTCTGACGACAGTAACTCAGAGATCGAAGCTGCCTTACGTCCTAGAAACCATAACACGTCCACCGATGATTTTGATGATTTTTATGACTTATAAGCTGTAACATCTGTTAGAAATAAAGTCTTTAAACAAACTAAACCCCTGTGTTCAGATGTGATGTTCAAAATAAACGTGTCCCTTTAAGTTTTCTAATTGTTTAATATGACAAGTTGGGACCATATTGTTATTCCAGTGAAATTTCATGACGTAACTACGAAATGGCATATTTGCTTTTACGTGTTATCAAAAAGCACAGTGATGAATACAATGCCCATCAAAATCCAGGTGGTTTCTTTGTAGAAATTGGCAAGCTAATTCTAAAATTCATATGGAAATTCAGGGGACCCAGAATAGCCAAAACAGTCTTGAAAAAGTTGGAGGACTCGCACTTCGCAGTTTTGCAACTTACTAAAATGCTGCGGTAATTAAGACAGTGTGGTACTGCATGAAATATTGATTTATATGTAATCTAGAATTGATGATCCAGAAATAAACTCTCACATTTATGGTCAGTTAATTTTCAGTAATGGTGCCAAGACCATTCAGTGGGGAAAGAATGGTATTTTTAACAGATGATGCTGGGATGACTGGACAGCCTCACGCAAAAGAATGCAGTTGGATCCCTACCTCACACTGTGTACAAACAGTAACCCAAAATGGGTCAAGGACCTCAGTGTAAGAGCTGAACAATCAAACTCTGAGAAGGAAACACAGGGGTAAAAACCCTTGTGACCTCGAATTAGGCAGTGGTTTCTTAGATAGTAAGACACCCAAAGCACTAACAACAGAGAAAAACACTCGTCAAGGTCATAAAAATACAGAACAGTCACAGATCAGAGGAGACAAAGGGGATGTGACAACTCAGTGAAATGGTGGGACCCTGGGTTGGATCCTTGAACCAGAAAAAAGGACATTAATGGAAAATTTGGTGAAATCCAAATAAAGTCTAGAGTTTAGTTGATAGTAATGTCCAGTGTTGGTTTCTAAGTTCTGACAAATGCACCACAGAAATGTGAGATAAGAGGAATGTACCATTAGGGGAAACTGAAACTGGGTGAAAGGTACATAAGAGCTCTCTGCATTATCTTTGCAAGTTCTGCAGTGACATTTGGGCGATACTCTTCCAAGCCTTTTCTATGTATATAAACCTTGTAAAAATTCCTGTAAACATTTCTAATTTTAATTCTAAATCTTACCAGGTTTAAATGATTTATATACCCACTAAAAAAACAAAAGAAGCCCTTCAGTCAGGACGCTCACTAGATATTGCCGGTGATGCTGATGGAGTATACAGAGTCCTGCCTCTGAACAGCCTCTCCTAGAGACCACATGCTGTGACCACTGGTGGTCAGAAGGAAGCCTGGTGCTGGCCTTCAGCACTAACGTGTCTTACACTGAATCGTGGTAGGTAGGGCAGGCCTGGGCCCCAGCGCTGTTAGCAGGCAGAACTTTCCAGCTAAACTTTAATGCATTTTTTTTCTTTTCAGTTACTTTCTGTTTATCTCCGGTGACCCTGGTTTAAAATGTAAAGAAGTGATATAAATTTTCCTTTTCAAATACATTTTAGGGGAAAGGAGATAACTGACTTTTAAAAAATAGACAAAGAGGGGATTTCCTGGTGGCGCAGTGGTTAAGAATCCGCCTGCCAAGGCAGGAGACATGGGTTCGAGCCCTGGTCCTGGAAGATCCCACGTGCCGCAGAGCAAATAAGCCAGTGCGCTACCACTACTGAGCCTGTGCTCTAGAGCCCGCGAGCCATAACTACTGCACCCTGTGCGCCTAGAGCCTGTGCTCTGCAACGAGAGAAGCCACCACAATGAGAAGCCCGTGCACCACACTAGAGAAAGCCCACGCGCAGCAACGAAGACCCAACACAGCCAAAAATAAATAAAATTTACATTAAAAAAATAAGTATATACAAAGAAAATGATAGTACAAGTGATAGGAGGGCAAGGCTGGCCGGCTGGAGCTAGGAGCTCTGCTCTGCTCACCTATGACTCCCTCATCTATTTTGGGGTCTCCGGTGGGGTTGAGCTCTTGGGGAGGCTGTGCACTGGGCCCATGGCTTGTCTTGTTTCCCAGGTAAGAGCAAAGTCACAGCCTAAGTTAATAAACTGTGTTTTCCTTTACTCTCAGACGACTACCATGCTCACAAGACCTCTGACACCGGATGTGGGGTTTTTTCCCCATCTCAACCCATGCTCTGACACCAGCCGCTTGTCCTGTGATTCAGTTCCGTTCGGACAGTAACTGGAGTTAGTGCGGTCCCCACAGGTTCACAGCTCAGTCCCATAAGGCTAACTCCCACTTCAGATGCCAGTCACAGGTCCCAGATTCCCTAAACCTTCGTCTGACTGGTCTGTAAGGTGGGGTCCTCACAGCCCCTCCTTGAGTTTGATAATTTGCTAGAATGGCTCATAGGACCTACTGAAACCCTTCCTTACATTTACCGGTTTATGATGAAGGCTAGGGCACATCCAGATGGAAAGATGCATGGAGTGGGGTCTGGGGAAAGGGCACGGAGCTCCCTTGTCCCCGCCGGTGCACCCCCCTCCTGGCACCGCCATGTGTTTGTTGAGCAACCCGGAAGCTCTGCGAATCCTTGGTGCTTTTATGGTGGCTTCATCAGGTAGGCATGATGAGGTAGGATTATTAACTCCACCTCCAGCCCCTCTCTGCTCTCCACACAAGGGGAGCAGGGGGCTGAAAGTCCCAAGCTTCTAATCATGGCTTGGTTTTTCGAGTGACCAGTCCCACTCCTGAAGCTCTTCAGGACTGCCCCCTTCCCACCCGCCACCCAAGTCATCTCATTAAAAAAAAAAAAAAGATTCATTTACCCATGAAATTCCAAGGGTTTTAGGAGCTTTGTGTCAGGAACCGGGGGCATGTTTCACAATCCATTTTTCTCACACTAGTCTTTCAACTTATAAATCAAACTGTGAGGTTGGTTAATGTGATGAAATCAATCCCTGGAACCCACAGTGTTAAGGATACAACTCTAGATCTGGGGTAACCACCATCCCAGCTCTACCAACTGAAGTTCAGGTACAGCTTGATCAAGCCTTTCCTGACGCTTCCTGTGTGCCAGGCTCTAGGGGACCAGTCATTGGGAGTACAGAGCTGGATCTGACATAGTCACCGAACTCGGGCGCCCTCGCTCCAACAAGGGTGACAAAGCCTGAAGCACAGCACGTCGTGCATGGTCCCTAACGGGAGATGCCTTTGTCCCCGAAGTTCTGAGGAATGAAGAAACCATTCCTCCTGCGGCTGAGTTGGGGACCTTTCACGTGGGAGGTGACATTTGCACGAAACCTGGTGGAGCTAGGGGAACAAGGAGACTCCAGGCAGAGAAATGACCCCCACAAGGCCCAGAGGCACAACAGAACTTGTGCAAATGAAACAGTCCTCACGGGAGGCTAATGCAAGACACACGTGCAGCAAGGGTGAGGGCTGGAGGGGCGCCCGAGAGAAAGTGGGGCCGCAGATTGGGAGTGAGGGGGAAGCTACAAGGTGTGTGTGGTTGACGGGCTATACGGTTGTCCCCAAAGAAGATCCAGACGCTGGAGCAGAGCGTTCAAACCAGTGAGAGTTTTGATATAAGAGCAACTTCAAAAATCAGCAGTATGGTGACACACCAGGAAAGCCAGTTTGAAAAAAAAAATTTTTTTTTTTGGCTATGTCACACGGCATGTGGGATCTTAGCTCCCCGACCAGGGATCGAATCCGCGCCCCCTGCGGAGTCCTAACTACTGAACCACCAAGGAAGTCCTGAAAATAATTTTTTTAAAGATGCCATTTACAGTAATAAAAATTACATGTCAAAAATCTTTTAAAATTTTAAGAAATTAGTGAAGGACAAAATTTTAAACATCCATTGACAGCAGAGAACTACATGTTCATGGATGGGAAGATTCCATCTTAAAAGCACAAGTTCCGTCCAGATTCATCCAAAAAGTCAATGCTATTTCAATCAAAATCCCGACAGGTCATTTCTGGAAGTTGACCAGCTGCTCCTTAAACTCGGAAGGAATTTAAAGGTCCAAAATGGCCAAGACAGTTCTGAAGAATAAAGAAGAGAAGGTCTTCCCATAGCAAATGTCAAGATTTATTATAAAAATCGTACTTAGGCCTGTGGTCCCGGATCAAAGGTAGAAACTTGGAGCAGAATAGATAGAGGCCACAAAAAAATCCCAGGCGTGAGAGCTGGGTACAGACAGATGTTTGAGAAATCAGTGAGGCGATAACAGACTTTTCAGTGCATGATGCTGGACCAGTTGGCAATCCACATGGCAAAACACAAAATTAAATGTGTTATTTGGCAATCATAAAGTATTTATTTTGCTTCGATTTACCTCTCAGTGGATAGTGGCATCTGTAGTGACTCTTTGTCAGTTCCCGAGGGAAGCACGCCCCACACCCGCACCTCGAGCCTCGCCCTCCCCTGGTCGGGAGCGGCCTCGCCCCTGCTGAGACTGAGGTCGAAGCTCCCAGTCCTCCTTCCATTGTCATCTCTTAATATCTGGCATCTTCTCTCTAGATTAAAGTCCCTTCTCCTTCCCTCGCTGCCTTATTCTCTCCCACCATTCATTCATTCATTCATTAATGGTACATTTGAAGCCCTCCCACTTTCCCTAGTACATTTTTCTTTTCCTTTCTTTTTCTTTTATCTGGCCACAGTGTGCGCTTGTGGGATTTTAGTGCCCCAACCAGGGATCGAACCCGGGCCTTCGGCAGTGAGAGCACAGAGTCCTAACCACTGGACCACCAGGGAATTCCCTTTTCTATTTTTTTATTGTGGTGAAATATACATAAGATTTACCATCTTAACCTTTTTTTTTTTGAAGTACGCGGGCCTCTCACTGCTGTGGCCTCTCGCGTTGCAGAGCAGAGGCTCCGGACGCGCAGGCTCAGCGGCCATGGCTCACGGGCCCAGCCGCTCCGCGGCATGTGGGATCTTCCCAGACCGGGGCACGAACCCGCGTCCCCTGCACCGGCAGGCGGATTCTCAACCACTGCGCCACCAGGAAAGCCCCATCTTAACCATTTTTTAAACGTACAGTTCATTGGCATTTAATACATTCATAATGGTGTGCAACTGTCACCACCATTTATCTCCAT